AGCAAATATAGCTGCAAGGCAGAGAAAGGATAGTGAAGCTCCGCCCAACGTGCGTCAGACACACTTTTGCACCGCGCAGCCAGAGCAGCAAAGCTGCTTCAGCCGCGCATCAGAACTAACGGGTACAAGCAGCAAAAATGAAGCAGCAGACGCGCTTTTGCTGCGTCCGATGTGAACGTAGCATAAGTGTAATTTATACCTTCACCAAATGTGAGGCAAAGCACTTCAGGTGTCCACACTAGTAGCCCCGCCCTGGGCTGCAGCCAATTAGCAGGTCAGTGCAACAAACACTAACGTGGTGACAGGAGCGAATGATTTCCGTTTCTTCTGTGCATAGAGGCACGTTCAGGAATGATGAAACGGTCGGAGATGCAGTGGTGTGTTTTGAACGAACGAAGTTGAGCTGCACTGATATGATAAGCGAAGTTTTACAAACATTTTATAAAATCTGTTCATGTGGATTGATGTGGCTGTGATGTAAGGTGATGGAGCTCAAGCCCCTGTCACACCTTAAGGATCTGAACTAGCGTATGCCTGACGTACGTGAAATCTGGCAGAAACGTTTGCATAAGTCGGAAAACTTCTGGATACGTTTTGTATAAGTTATGAGCACGATGAAGCATGCTGGCAAAATTGATTAAATACATAAAGAGTTCAGCATTTGCCGGCGTTTTAGGAGATTCTGGGACGTTGAGTATACACTGTTTACGGAAAGACATTGAGCCGTTTAATTATTCCAGAATGCATCATTACACAGAGATATAATCGAAACCCCTCGATTCAGTCGCCTAATCAAAAATCTGTTGCATTGTACCTTTATTATATCTCATTTGTAGTATCTGTTGTAGTTGTTTAGGGTTTTTTTTGTTTGTCTTTGGATTTAGCATAATTTGTGTGTTTGTAGCCTGTTTGTATCCGTCTGCCATTGATATTTTATCTCATTTTCCTTGTAAATGTGTCCTAATTTCCAACAAATTCTTAGGGACGGGTCAGGACTTTAGGCTGAATTGGAGCTCATCTGGTTCGGGACTGAAATGAAGCCAATCTGACAAACTTGGATGATTTTCTGCTTGGTTATATAAAATGAAATTCAAAATTTTAAACTCCATCTTTTGTTTCCCTGCTTCAGGTTTAATTTTGTTGCTAAGAAGCTCCACAAGCGTCTCCTGCAGCTGGGAGCTGGGATGCTGATCCCTGTGGGGCTGGCAGATGATCAGCATGACCTGGGGTGAGATGTTCCCACCTTCATTCTGGAACCAACATCAGATCCGGGAGTTAAACTCTTCTCCTGCTGTCTGAAACAGGCCGGATGCTGTGATCGACCCGTGGCTCCGCTCGTTTTGGGAAAAGGTGCTGGTTCTGCATCCGTCTCTGTCCGACTTGAAACCTCTGAGGGACGACGAGCCGTGAGTGATCAGAACCGGCAGCTTGTTCTGAGGCGGAGTTTAAAGGTTCTGTCACAGGTCTCCTGTTTGTGCCACAGACTCCCTCCATCGTTCACCTTCCATTTCCTGGATGAGAAGACGGATCAGAGAGACGATCCGGCGAGGATCGACTCGGAGCAGACCGTCCCCTCAGAGTCCCGTCCTTTTCAGGCCAGGATGCTTTTCAACAGGAGAGTCACGGAACCGTCACACTTCCAGGACGTCAGACTCATAGAGTTTGACATCAGCGGGTCCGACATTGAGTAAGAAAATGAGAAAATAGAGACGAGAAAATCTGGATCTTAGATTTTAT